GTGGCTTAGGCCGAGTACACTAGCACTTTCATCTAACGCCAGGCGGGCCCCGGCACAAAGCTAAGGGCTCAAAACTCCTCGATGCGGGCGCGCGACGTTGCGGTCTCTTCTTCTTGAGGACAGCGGTGGCCGCATGAGTTCGGGCCAAGCTGGCCGAGCTTTCCTAGCCCCACTCCCCCATCAGACCTAAGATCTTTTACCTTTTAAGTTAAAGTGAATCCGGAGCTTTGTTAATGCTCCCTAATGCAGCTGCGGGAGGAGTGTAGGTCCCTGGCGAGGGGAGCGCGCTCCGGTGACCTCTAGCGCCTCGTACGCCAGCGCAGGAGGGATTCCTGGGACCCGAGGGCAGGAGGGTGCGGGGAACGGGGCTGCCACTGCGCCCAAGGCTTGCCCCTTTTATAGGATTTAGGGAAACAAATCCTCTTTTCCTAGTGGATGTAAGAAGTGAGTGAATTTAAAGTCACAGCACGGCAGTAAGCGGCCCCAGTTGTCTGGGATTGATAATGCTGGAATTGATATATACACACATATATATAACAGTACTTTGCAGGTGTATATATATATATATATATATGTGTGTGTGTGTGTATACTTTGTATAGAATACTTCGTATACACACACACACACCCCTTTTCATATGACGCGTGCATCAATATTCTGTGTGCTGTCCCCCCTACCACAATCTGTTTTGAAAAATCCATCTCCGCAGAAGAGGAGAGGAGTGCTTCGGGGAAGGGTGGAGGCATCGATGTCCTCACCTTTCCCAGTGAGGAATCAAGTCTTCCTGGTTTCGCGATGGAGCTAGAAAAGGGTATGTAGTCCTGGACTTTAAAAGACAGTAATAGAAGTGGAAATAAAGATGTAACAACATTCGGAGGAAGAGCGGGGCAGGAAATTCTTAGCTGTCCTAGCAGAAAGTAAATGTCTAAAGCTCATAAGCCTAAAATTACCCATGCAGGCACATTAATTAATTAACCACTAGACAAGCAGAATTATTAATGTAGGTAATGCCCAGTAGAGGGAAGAAAAAAAGGATTGGTTCTGACTTGTGGAACTGGGGCTGGGGAGAGATGGAAACTTCTGACAACTCTGTATTACAAGCCCATCTGCAATGTTGTTTGAGTTTATGTAAGCATGTGCGTCATTTACGTTTTTTAAAATTATTTTTAAATGAATAAAACTGTACATTCTGTATGTCCACAGTCTCTTTATTGAAACTACAAACCTAAATTTTTATTTTCTATTTCTCCTTCCTGTAATCTCAGTAAGCTTTTTCAGGTCAATATTATTGGTGCACATGTGTGCGCCTCTGATCCTTACTATTGTATTCAAACGTCCAAATAAATATTTATTTTAAAAAGCAGAAGAATCCACTATATAGTGGTCAGCTATAAAATTGCTCCTTCCATTTTGCTCGTGTCTACTAATTTTCTTCCTATCAGTCCGCCCACATCCATCAGTTCATAGAAATAACTTCTGAGGACTGAGGGATTTAAAAGCCTGCGAATCGCGTTTCAGTATTACCTGGAACTACTGGAAGCCAGAATCTTTTCTTAATTTGCCGTTCTCCCCATTACACTCTGCTTATCCATCCTCAAGATTTCAGACCCTGTTCAGTTCTCAAAAAGTAAACACCATGGAAATACAATTCAGGACTTCAGAAGCCATACTGGTGGGAGGAGGGGCTAACAGGAAGATAAATGTTGGCAAGCTTGATACCACATTCACTATGTCCCAATTAACTGTCCCTTTTATAAAGATCTTAAGATTTTCATGCAAAATGGGAGTTCCTATGTATTAAGACATTCTATACAAAGTTCTCCAACTGACAATTATTTTTTTCTCATTTTATAATCAAAGAGACTAAGCTGAGCTGTCCAAAGCACAAAGTAAAACACAGATGCTATGTCTCCAGCAAACACAGACAATCTTACAAGGCTGTAAAATTATCATTCCACTAAGGAAAGCACCCGGGGGAGGTGAGTTACTGTTGTTTTTTCTTTCCCAATGGAAGAATGGAATTACACTCCCAAAGTCAGCTGAGATAGAAAGAGATACATAAAATCAAAAGATAGGGAAGCCGGAGAGAGGGAAAGATCACTTTCTGTGGCACTGAGGCACTCCCTTCAGCGTCATCTCATCTAATCCCTACAACAATTCAGTGAAGTGTTCGTCATTATCCAGAGTCAACTTTGGCAAAATGTTTTACCATCACCCCTGCTTTTTACAGATGAGCTGGCTGGAGTGCAGAAATGGTCAGTGATGTCTCCAAACTCACAGAGCTAAGTTTCTGAGCCAGGTGAACCTCTGATTCAAAGTGCAGAGATTTTTTTCTTCTTCCGGAGGACAGACACTGCTGGCTTTATTCATAGAGCTGTTCTCTAGTCCTTGCTCCAGTAGTTTACAGTCTGAGGTTACAGTTTTGTGTTCAAACACATTGTTCGAGAGAAAGGAATAATAGCCACCAGGTGACTGCCTCTAATAGAAAAGAGGCGGCAAAGCAGGAACTCTTGAGTTTCCTTGGGGCTTCCCAAGAGAAAACTGAGGTACCAACTACCAAGCAAGTTATTCAGTCCGTTTTCTGAGCACTTACCCGTGACAAGTCCGGTAATAGTGAAAATGAGACAGTCCTTAACCAAGAACAGAAAACTGCTGGGCTTCACTGCATACGCACCACAGTTCTTTTTCTTGCCTAACAAGTTATCAGGCTTATGGGAGGGCACTGACTCACAGAACTGGGATCCACAGCACAGTTACTGATGTTTATTTTTTTCCTTATCTGAACCTCCACACACACAGTGGCCTCACAAGATCATCTTTTGGAGCAACATCAATTTGGGGAATACTTGTTAGGAAGTCAACTTTGGCAAAATGTTTAAGACCTCAATTCAAGTGGAAATAAGATTGTCAAAGCTAAAATTTCTTTAGCAAGAAGAGATTTTTAAAATATGTCATTTAACTAAATGGTTTCTTGAATCTGAGCTACAGAGAATTTTTTACATTAAAGAACATCATTATCATCACAACAACTTATTTAGCACTTGCTGTGTACTAGGTGCTGCACTGAGACATTGGAGTTTCCAGTATCGTGAACCAACCTGAGAGAAATATCAGTGGTGAGGGTTCAGTGTTTGTATATGGAGGATGGTGCAAACTGAATTATTCCCGTAAAGCTGCTACATAATTCCGGAGAAAGCACACAGCCACCTTCTCATTAGAAGAAGGGTAGGGATAGGTGTTATAGCGAGAAACTGAGATGCTGCTGGATCCCAGGCCAGAGGACCTAAAGAAATACTCTGTCCATTAGGAGCCCACCCTGTGGAGGAACTTGAGCCTACTCCAGATGGGGACTGGGTAGGAACATCAGTGCCATTTTTCTTCAGATGAATATTGTGGACCCAGAAGGAAGCACCTTGTAAGCAGGAAAAATAAATTTGTGCTGAAATAATGGATGTAAAATACTTCTCCCTGTCCACTATTGTCAAAACAAATCAGAGAGGAACAGGGGGAGGAAGGGAATGTTGAACATCTATTATGTGACAGGCACAGTATTAAAAACAAAATGAAATGGGACATTTTAAAATGTTAGGCTGACATGATGTCTTTTGGTTCATTGCACCCCTTTCCATTTTATCTGAATTCCTTTGGCTTGTACGTGTTTTTGCTAATATCAGTACAAATTCAAGCTCTATCTTCTGCAGCGTGATTCAAACTAAAGATACAATAATCTACTGATAAGAATAATAAGTGAAATAAATTGTTTCATTGTAATATTATCTCTTAACTGCTTGTATAAGTAATTTACAAGTTTATCTGTAATTTATCAGACTCACCTGGTAGCTTTAATAGAGATGTAGTCAGCATTCTCATGGGGGAAAAATACCCTCTTCCTTATTGCTCTGGATGTCTCAAAGGCATGCACATTCTATACTGGCATCAAATCTGGCTATCTTAGCTCATAAAAGAGCTGGATTCTTACCTCCTAATGTACTTCTAAAGTACCAAAAGTAGATATGGGGAGAAAAGCAATGTATCCTTTATGTGTATTTGTCTCCAAAATAAAACAGTAAAAACTTGAGACAGATTTAGTATTTTGTCTCAAAAAATCACTAGCTAGTACCTGTGGTCACTTCATCTGAATCTACTTGAGGAAACAGGGGTCTACGTACTTGGTGATGTCATGGGGGTATCCAGGCACTTGCTGATGTCACAGAGGGGATTTATGCATTTGGTGATGTCATAGCTGGCGGGGTGGGGGGGGGGGGGGGCAGGGTGGTCTGTGCACTTAGTGATGACGTAGAGTCTTTCAACCTAGGCAGAAGTTTTACATTCTGTCGTTCACTTTAAAACTATAATGGTCTGTAATGGACCCCAAAGCTCTACTTCTAATTTTGTCACCAGGGCCCACATCCCGGTACTTTAAAATGAGAAAGGGTTTAAGGATACCAAATGTTTTGGTAATTTGAAACTACCGAAAAAAAAAAAAAAAAAAAAAGAACATAGAAGGAATAAGACCTAGTATTTGATAGCACAGCAGAGTGACTATAGCCAATAATAATTTAATTGTACATTTTAAAATAAGTAAGAGTATAACTGGATTGTAACACAAAGGACAAATGCTGGAGGGAATGAATATCCCATTCTACATAATGTAATTACTACGCATTGCATATCTGTATCAAAACATCTCATGTACCCCATAAATATATACCCCTACTATGTACCCATAAAAATTAAAATTAAGAGTTAAAAAAAAATCACTAGCTGCTACCTGCAGTCACTTGATCTGCATGCTTGAGGAAAGAGAAGGAATTGGCTTGATGCTTCTACCCAAAAAAATTTATTTGTGAAGACAAATCCCTCCATCCATGTAAATGCATGGACAATATCTTAACAATTTTAGCTCTTACTGCTTTTCCACCTGCACCTAGGAGTTAAGGATGTAATTTACAGGACTTTAGATCTTTCCCCTAAGAACTCTTTTTCTTTCTCTTTTCTGTACTTGTCTTAATATCGTTAACAGATGGCAGCCAAGGGTACAGCTGAGTCTTCTTCGGCTGACTGAGTATGATGAAAATGCCAAGTGTAGTCTGAGCACCGCCCTGAACTTAGGCTGGTAGCCCTTCTGCCCACTTCATCTACTGGGAACTCTTGGGACACCCTGGAGAAGGAGCTCAGGCTGGAAGCAGAAACAACCCACCTCAGCTAAGGGTTAGAATTTAACCTTTTTAAAGGAAGCCTGTTATGCCTAACAAAATAAACTTATCTTTCCTCACTGAAACTGTCTATCCTTCACATTCCAGGAATCCCTTCTGAAAAACATATTCCATGCCTTTTTTCAAGAGAATGCAGTCAATCATTTCAGCTCAGACATCTCTCCCACATAAATGCTGTAAGCTATCCTCCAAGCCTTTCCTTTTTCTGTAGCACTTGCTGCTAGGGATAATTGTATGGTTTGCCACCAACAGAATGTAAATTCTCCCAGTGCCCATGAATACACCCTGGTCCAGAGGAAAACAGGTGAGAAATATGTCAAAAGAACTTGTAATACAAGCCTTCATATACGTGGCAGGGGAAGGCCTGGTGACTCCTTTCCTCACTTACAAAATGGGAAACATAGCACCTAAACCTGCAGGCTTGTTGAGGCTAAAGCTGTTTAGAACGGCATTGAACAAACATCTGGCACAGGAAATGCCCATTATAAGTCACCTGTTTCCATTTATGCCTCAATCTGTAAAATGTGGTGAGACGTGCCACAGCAATTAGCATGGCTGATTACAGGAGCTGATCCCCATCTTTTACTCACAACCCTGTAACTCAGTTTCTTCTTGATAAGGTAATGATGGTGATAGATCGGGACGCTACAAACCATTCATGGATTCTCCCCTAAGTTTATGCCATCGTCCATGTATGTATTAAATCTAAAAGCAAAAAAAAATTCTTCAAATAAAATGCTAAAGTGTATTAAAAGTTGTTATAATGCACATTTTATTTTGATTAGTTTCTGTGACTCCTTTATTTTCAACCCAGCAACGCCACTTCCCAAGGTGTAAAAATGTGAAGATTTAGGTAAACTGAATGTCGGAGGAGTGTAGTGTAAAGAGATGGCAGAACACAGATAAAAACATCCGAAAAGCCTCTGTGGGCCGGTCAAGCTTATGATTCAACAGTTAGAAAACCAAAATTACTTGGACATCCCCTTCTACTTAAAGTGATATACTGGAATTGAAAATATTAATTAACCGTTCGTTTTAAAAACTAAGATTACTTGAAATGAAGTAGGCTCATTCCAGAATGCTTTTCTTTTTTCCTTCCCGAAACAATTACATCAAACTTAGATATCCTAATGTTTATTTTTAGATATAGTCCTTAAATTATGTTCACCCTTTTCAAGAGGATGAGAAATTTACATTAACTAATAGACTTAACATTGATCTTAAAAATTGGGTTTTGATAAAACTAGTGTGACAGAGGTACTACTAGAACGAAAAAACAGGATTCCAGATTTTATTTTTTAGAAGATAGAAAAAACACACCCGGGACAACATTTCTTTGATCAATAAACTTTCAGGAAATGGAGGAAGCTGTTTTGGGACACATTCAAAGCTAGTTAACTTGAACTTGGAAATAGGGTTTTTGACAATGTAACTACGGGAAACAAATCTCTGAACAAATTTTAAATGAAACTTCACCCCTCCCCAAACTGTTCAAGTGGCAGACAAAATAAATTACCATAAATTATATGCCAAGACACCTTTTAAAAAACAACAACAACAGCAACAACAATAACCCAGGAGTCTGAGGATTTCCTTCGCTCCTCCAGGAAGTGTGTAACACTGCTTCTGGCCTGCAGGCTGGGGCGGATCGGGGACCTGTCACACGTCAGGATAGTTGCAGTAATATACCGCGGAGCTGGCGTCGGACACCACGGAGGAAATGGCCCCGTGGCTGTCGGGGAGATTCACACTGGAGTCATGCCCCTGGTAGGGGAGGCCCATCTCAGGCTTGCACACGAAGTGCAGATACTGTTCAAATTCCGTGCGGTCCACCTCTCCCAGAAGCTCGGCGGGCTGGTTGGGGTCCGTGCCGTCCCGGCAGGGCAGTGCCTCCGGAGGGGGCGACGGCTGTCCGGGACCCGGGGGCTGGTGCTGGTGCTGGTGTTGGTGTTGGTGTTGGTGTTGCGGCTGCATCTGGAAGCCGCGCCCGCCGCCCGCCCCATGCGAGCCCATCGCGCCGTAGTACATGTGCAGGGCGCTGGGTGGCGCCAGGAGGCCCGGCATCGATGGACCCGCGGGCTCTGGACCGAGTCTGGGGTGTATGGGGCCGGCGGGAGGCTCCGGGGGGCCAGCGTAGTCCGAGACCTGCGAGTAGCTGTAGGTGCCGGCCGCCGGGCAGTCCCCGGGCATCGGGGCGGCGAAGAAAGCCGAGTCGGGGTCCACGCCGTCCAGCGGGGACGTGTCGGGCGTGGGCAACTGATAGCCGTCGAGCGGAGGCGCGCCCAGACTCTGGCAGTCGCGGTAGTGGCCGCCCATGTGCGGAGGCAGCAGCGGCGGACCGGCAGGGAAGCCCTGCTCGGGGAACGGGAGGCCCAGGCCGTCCATGGCCACTCGGCCGCCCTCGGGGCCCAGCGCCGCCGCCTGCGGCTCGGCCAGGCCGTGTAGGAAGCCGCCCTCCACCCGCTTCAGCCGCTTCACCTGCTTGCGCCGCCGCGGCCGGTACTTGTAGTTGGGGTGGTCCTGCATGTGCTGCACGCGCAGCCGCTCGGCCTCCTCCACGAAAGGCCGCTTCTCCGCCAGCGTCAGCGCCTTCCACGACTTGCCTGCACAGTGGAAGGAAGGGGGAGAGGGGCGCAGGGTTTATCGCCTGCGCTCCCGCCCCAGGCCCCTCCCCCACCCGGACGCATCTCTCCCCTCAGACGTTGAATTGAGCAACTGGGGTGAAGTTAAAAAGGGAAGTCTGGGACTCCTGAGTCCGAGCCCTTGGGGAACACCCGTCCTCTAAAGGCACCCCTTTCTTTTGGTCTCCTGGAAGCGGCTTTCCGCTCACCCATCACTCGGTCGTTCGAAAAACAGAAAAGGACACCTAGCTAGGGAAGGGGTCCAGGGATGGACACAACCGGCCCAGTTCAGGGCCAAGGGTGCTCTCGCGCTGCTCAGAGGTGCCGGGAAGTCGCCTTCCCAGAGCCTTTGGACCCACGTCCCCGGCCACCTGGGGAATCCGGGAGCCGGAGAGCACGGCGGAAAGCTACTTTGGAGGCTCGGAGAACGGGAAGCTGGAAGGGAACCGAGAGCCTTAAGAAAGGACGTGGAGTCTCGGGCGTCAGGCTCGCAAAGAACACCGTTTGGGGCTTAAGAAAGCGGCCTAGAGATTGGCGCCAGCGCGCCCGGCCGTCTGCGTCCCTGACTCGGACTCACCCAGCATCTTGCTCAGCTCCGCGTTGTGCAGGTCTGGATTCTGCTGCGCCAGCCGCTTGCGCTCGTCCTTAGCCCACACCATGAAGGCGTTCATCGGCCGCCGGATACGGGACTCGCCCTTGGCTCTGCCCGCGGTCCCGGCCGGCGCTCCGCTGCTCGCCGGCGCCTCGCCCTTCACCTTCATGTCCCCGATGGGGCTCAGCGACTCGGCCCAGGGGCAGGGGCCCAGCCCGGCCATCACCGCGGGCAGCGCGCTCCGGGTCTGGCTCTGGTCGTCACTGGCGTATCCCGCATCCGGGCTGCTCATGGCGCTCCAGGCCGGCCCCGCTCCCCTCAACTCTCCGCCGGACGCGCCGCCTCCCCCGACCCGGGGGAGGGGGTGGGGAGCGAGGCACTGAGATGCCCCGAGGGCTGCGCGGGTCTCCCGGCCCGAAGCCGCCGCCCGTGTTCTGGCCTGTCGCGGTCTACGGTCTACAGCGTACCCAGGGCCCCCAACCGACCTAGTGACACTGCGGGCGCCCCTGGGCCGCAGGGCCTTTTCTGCACAGATGTGGCCAATGGAGCGGCGAGGGCGGGCCGGTCCCGCGTAGTTAGGCCCACGCCCAGGCCGTGGTCCGAGTCCCAAGTCCCAGTCCAACCCCACGCCCGCCCCTTGCCCCTCCCCTGGCCCCGCGCCCAGGGCTACCCCTGCCCCCGGGAAAACTAGCGGGAGCCGGGCTCTGGCGCCGCGTCCTCTCCCACCCGGGTTAGGGAGACTCGAAAAGCCATCTGGGAGGGCTGATTGTACCTTGGAATCGACGTACTTGCCCAAGGTCGTTTAGATGAACATACTGAGCGTCCATTCTATTCTCTTTAAAGCACATCTTTTTGTAGAAGCCGAGGGTGTTTCAGTGGTGGGTGACCTAGTTTACTTCCTGCACGGGCATCTTCTTCAAATGTATTTTCTCGAATGCGAAAGACACCGTTGATAATAAATTTAAAAATACAATTTTTCCCCCAGGACTTAACTTGCCTGTGTTATGTTCAAAATGCTGTGTCCATGATAAATCCTAATTTTCTAAAGCAAGATTAAATACGGAACGACGTTCTGGATCCAATATTCCATCACTCTGAAGAATAAAGCATTTACTCATGACAAACCAACCAGTTTTTAATGTGTATCTTATTATACACATCATGTGAAGTATGAAAATGTGTACAAGATGTATATAAGATACGCATAACAAAACTTTCTCGCATGTGTTCAGTAACAAGTGAGCCTTAATACTGATTTCTAAAATGTAAAGACAGCAGCAATATTTGGCTAAATGTCCGAGTTTGTTAGGGGGAAGAGAACAATCTGTTTTAGCTGCAAATTAACTGTGGTTCTTAAGAGTCAGTTTAAGATGGTTATTCTGGCAGATAATTAGATTTCTATACGTTTGTTTAGACTGGAATGAAATCTGAATGACTATTAAACTTGTGTTTCGATCTGGAAAAAAAAAGTTTTCAGTGAGACTTTTAAAACAAGCCGTTATACAGCGCTAAGAAATGACACAGCCTGCCACTGCTATTCGTAGCGCGCTCCGGCATTAGCAAAGGAGTGTATCCTCATAGTAACCCTGAGATAGACTCTATCTTACAGGAGAGGAAACTGAGGCAGAGAAGTTAAGGAACTTGCTGGAGACTACAGTATTGAGAAGGTGGAATTCACACCCAGCAGTCTGCCTTCAGACTTGCAGCTCTTAATCACTAAGAGAGGCTGGTGTGTTTGTGTATTTGTGTTGGTTTTTGAGGGCAACCAACAGCCATTCCTGCATAATTAGAGATGACTTTGCAAAGAAATCAATATACCAATCTCCAGAACAGACTTTCTTTATTATGAAGGCGTGATAAAAAAGTAGAGTTTACACCTGGGATCCGAGAAGTAAAATGCTGCTGCTTTGAGTGTGATACTACAACAACAAGACTGTCTGTCCAGCCTTGCTTTTAGTGGCATCCACAAAAATACAAAACTTTTGCAAACTCCTGGCCTTCAGTTTCTCTGGCATTGCTTTTTCTCAAAAGAACTCTTACACAATTGTTTTAAGCCAACTTATATTTAATTCTGCAAGTATCTGTGAAGTCTTGACTAGAGGACAAGTTAAGAAAGTGTTTCTAGTTCCTGGGTCTCTAAGATTCAAACAAGAAAAAAAAAATCTGCATAAAGAAATCATAGAGGGATGTTACTTTTACTTGGTAGTTTTGAAAGCAGTTGATTTTAGACAAATTTAAATGATGGTGTACTTTTCTTTTAAAGCTTTATTTTTTCTGGAAAAAAATGGGCTTCAGAATAAAGCAAAAGCACATTGAAAATTATTAAGCAACAAAACTACAGGAGGAGAGAGAGCAATCTACAAATTAAGCCCGTGGTACCTTGTTTTTTGCTAGGTGTTTTTTTTTTTTATCTTTGCTAACTTTTCTGGATAATAATACATATTTTTCAAAGATCTCAAAGCAGAATTTTCTCTTAACACAAAATCTTTTATGAGCTAAGGAGTTTTCCTAGACTAAACGTTGAAAATTAAAAACAATGTCTGATCCAGAATTCATTTTTATCTGTCTAATCTGTTTGACTAATTCCTTAAAAAACACTGCAGGAAATACAATCCAGGTGTGAGTCCAAAAAATGTACATGCACAGATTTAGCCCTGTACACTTTCTTCATCCTCATGCTCTTCCTCACCCAGCTCATTATCTGGAGAGGTGCGCTTGGGAGCCAAGAAGGTGGAGAAAATGATGGGGAAGAAAACGTGGGATTTCCATATTTTATTGATTTATTTACTTATTTATTTATTGAGACGGAATTTCCCTCTTTTTGTCCAGGCTGGAGTGCAATGCCACGATCTCAGCTGGCAACCTCCACCTCGCCGATTCAAGCGATTCTCCTGCCTCAACCTCCAGAGTAGCTGGGATTACAGACGCATGCCACCACGCCCGGCTAATTTTTGTATTTTTAGTAGAGATGGAGTTTCATCATATTGGTCAGGCTGGTCTCAAACTCCTGACCTCAGGTGATCCGCCCGCCTTGGCCTCCCAAAGTGCTGGGATTACAGGCGTGAGCCACCAAGCCCGTTCGAGTTTCCCTATTTTTATTCGCCCTTGTTCCTGGGGACGGATCTTGGTCGGGTAAGAGAAATCAGGTGAAAGTACACAACATAGGTTGGAGTAGATTTTGGCGCCCCTCCCCCCTACTTCTTATAACACCCTCCCTGGGATCATAAATTCACAGTTTACAAATTTACAGGGGAGAATTGTGGTGGTCTTCCAACTCTAGTTCCTTTTACATGCTGTGGCCCAGTTAGATCTCATTTCTTCTGATCATTCGCTTGTCATTTATTTTCGGGGGGCAGTGTGGAGGGCGGCGACGTCGCTGACCCGCGCGCGGTGTGTGGAGCCTTCTATTTCAGTCTCTTTACTTTAATACATGGTGCCCCGGGACGTTATCAGAGCCAGCCACAAATGCCACATGTAAAGCAGCAAACATCCGGAGTGGCTTCCTGCAAGCCTTGCTTTTCTCAACACGAGAGATTTACGCAGGGGGTTGGGGAAAACAAGTTTCACAAGTAAGAGCCGAGTACACCGCTCGCATAGCCGGCCGGGTGCCTTAGCACTGCGCGGTCCAGGGTCGCAGGACTCCCGGCTACTAATTGCGCTCACGTCCCCGGGTCCCTGGGCCGGACCTGAGGCTTGAAAGGCTGGGCAAGGACGCGACTAGCGCACCAAGAAGCTGTGCCCGTTGCCAGTTGGGGCCTTTGGTCAGCGGGCGCAGAAATTAACTCGGGTAGGTGGCGAACCGTGGGGCTGACCTGGAGGAATCAGAGCCACGCTTATCCGTGGGCCCCTGAGTGACCAGGCAAAGGCTGGGTGATTTCCGGCAGGCTTTTGTGTTTTCGATGCTGGGAAAGCAAGAGCTGGAGGAAGGACACTCAAGTCGATCGGGAAGGACCCGTGGGCACCTAGGCAGATCCGGGTTGGCGCTGGAGAGCAAGTCTGTGTGGGCGGGGGAGGGGAGTGCGCGCTGCAAATCCTGGGAAAACTCCAGGCGGCCGGTGGATGACTAGACAATGGTATCCCTGAACAAAGAACAACAATAAGGCCTTTGCATTTATAAATCGTGCGCGGGCGGCTGCCTCCCGGAGGTGGCGCGCGGCGGTGGAGCGCGGCCGAGGGTCCCGCACCTCCCAGGTAGGGCCGCGCAGCCGGACGCAGCTTATTCGCACCTTGCGCCCCGGCGCCGTCTAGGCGGCGGTGCCGCGCCCCTTGATACCTTTAACGTCTCTTCCTTGTCCCCGGGCCAGTTCCCCGTGGGTCCGGGATGGAGGTCGAAGGTCGCGGGCGGGAGGGGAGGGGGAGGGGGGAGGGAATGGCCCGGAAGATCGCCGCCACCGGCTCTGCTGCTGCTCGCCCCCGGCCTTGGAGGTCCGTCCCAGGTCGGAGCCCCGCAGATGCTGCAGTGCGGGTCCGACCCAGCCTATGCCTTTCTCCTCTGCTGCGCCGGCCTCTCCCCGTGGGGACTGAAAAAAAAAGGGCTACAGCGAGAGGGAATTTGGGGATGCGCGTTCCCCTCGCCCCAGAACGGGAATATACATTTTACTTGGACGCCCTCTCCCACTCCCTCCACGCGCATCCCTCCCCTGGTCCGGCGGTGTCCCCTCGAGGCTGCCCCCCAACTCCGCCCTGGCAGCGGGCGACTCCTCGACCGTGTCCCCGTTCCCGCTTGGCCCCGCCTGGGATTTGCACAGGCGAAGCAGGAAATGCGCTGTTCCCGGTCCACTTCCCTACTCAGAAACTCATCCGTGGAGTTTTCCTTAGATCCCCCCACCTCCAACTGTGGCCCCGGGTTGAGGTGTGTGGGCTATTTCCCTTTATGGCCTGGCCTGTGGAACCTCAGACTCCAGGGGGAGGTGGTGTTGGGAATGACGGAGAGGGTCCCGCTCCTCACCCAGGACTCGTCACACACACAGCACTGTCTTGCTCACCCCTTTCAGATCTGCCCCTCAGCCTTAAAAGGGATTTCAATAGCGGCAGAGCTTCCATGCACCCGGTGCTGCAGCTGAACTCCTACTCCCACTTTCCCCATCCACACCCTAGGACAGGCCAGGGCTTTCCTTGGAGACCTGTGTCCTCACCTGACCAGACAGCCTTATCAGCAGCGCGCCCACCGTGCGCAGAGCACTTCCACTCCCACCCGAAGGAGAATGGACGCGGTCCCTGCTTCGGAGGAATGTACCACTCAGTGTCATTAGTCTTCCTCCCTGATTCATTAACTTCCAGCTGGGTGTTCTAGGTATGGTCTTCTGTAATAATTTGTTCCTGGCATGTAAAGGTGATGCTGACATCAGTAGGTCAAGCGCTTTGAGATTTTTTTTTTTTCTAGTAGGGATAATAGGTTTCCTTTCCACCCTGAAAACTCTGACTTGCCAAGTTTCCCTAGTAAGCAGGGCTGGATTGTGCCAGATGGTTAGGGCAAGGTGTGCATTCTGTTATCATGGAAGTGATCAAAGTTAAATAGGTCATAGGACAGGCCACTTC